CTGGACCCGGTGGCTTAAAACTCATGCCAGGTGTGTGTGCATGCATGCTCAAGATTCTGAGAGGAGAATGGAGGAGAAGGGATTGTGGTGCGGCCATCCCCCCTGGGGGGTGATTTCTTGCTTTCTGCCTGTCTCTCTTTGTCTGTCTGGTGAGCGCAAACCTCTCTCAAACAAACAAACAAACAAACAAAAAAACCAAAAACAAACAAAAAAACTGAGGAGAGGTGGGGAGAAGTCCCTCCCTAATTATGAAAGGGTTTATTTTCTATTCTTTTTCTCCTTCCTCAGTAAAAATACACACAAATTTTTAGTGTCAGGGCCTCCTTGATTCTATTTTCGAAATGTCCTAAGACTTTTGTCCTCATTTTTGGATTAAAAGCCATTGTGGGTTAAGTTAAAGCCTAATTTTGTGTGCAGACTTCAGGGAAAAAAGAACTGCAGGACTGCAGCTAATCTTCATTATTACTGGAAAGTTATTCCTTTTTAACAGCTGATTAATTACAGACCACAGCTGCCTATTCCTAAACATTTGATGACTAGCAGAGGAGGTAGGAAGGCTATTTCCAAAGTCTTGAAACTGGCATTGTTCTAAGAACAGAGCAGGAATTAATCTTTGGGGGAGATGCTTTTACAGTTCTGCAAGGGGTAGCTTTGGAGAACTCTTCTTAGCCTCAACCTCTAAGTCATGAACTTGACCTCTAAGCCATGAACTTGACACTGTTTTTGACACTGATGAAAAAAATTCCAAAGGCCAGTATTTCAAACTAAGATGTTGGCTTCTAAACAATTCAAAGGAGGGAAAGGAGTGTCTCATGTTTTGGGGCAGAGATTTTTTTATTTTTTTAAATGGGGCATGTGTGCTTACCAGAGAGAGAAACTATGAAAGTAAGGAAGCACCAGCTCCAGGGTGGATGCCCACATACCCTCCTGTCTTCTCCATTCTCTTCTCAGGAATTTGGGCATGCACATATACATGCCCAGCGTGCTTGCAAGCTGCTGAGTTAGGGACTTGAACTGTTCAGTCAGACATGTAGAATCCAACTGTCCTAAATACTATGTCACCAGCTAGCCCAAGATTTAAAAAAACTTTTTTTTAATGTAGAAATTTGGGCTTCCTTTTGGAGGGCCTTGTGACAGCAGTTTGAGGGTTCTGGGAGTCAGGGAAAGAAAAATATGGGCAACTACTCTGTCCTGTGTTAAAGAGAAGATTTCTAAAATGGGAAGGCAGACCATGGGACCAGGGAAATGTATGGCTATTGGGTCTCTATGGAAGAATCACACATGGATTACAGGAGAAATGATATAAATTGTGGAAAAAGTTCTTAAGATCATAGACTAGCTTACAGCCTCCTATTATGTTACATGATCTTTCTTTGTAAATCTTTCTTTGTAAATCCCCAATGGGAGCACTTTCTCACTTTCTCTCTCTATGTCTGTCTTTCTCTGGTGAGTGCATGCATCTTTTAGCAAATTAAAAAAGAATTCACAATTTTGTAAAATCTATGATGATTTGTTTACCTAATACAATTCTAATCATTCTTTGTTCAGCTTCTGCATCAGTAATAATGACAGCCTCAATCAAGTCTATACAACCATGTATGTAAGAACTATTACATGTCAGGTGATGTTATAAGGGTTTACATATATTAAAATTTAATCTTCGCAGCAATCATAAGAAGGCAAAAGTTCAGTTTTCCCATTTTATTGATGAGGAACTGAAGGTCAAGGTCCATAGTTAATAGGTAGCAGAACTGGAATTTGAACCTATGCTTTCTAGCTATACAGTATTTTATTCTTATCTTTATATCTGGGTTTAACCTATGACCTTTTATTATATATGTATTTTGTTTTTTTTTATGGATTTAAATATTTTTTTCAGTATTCAAAAACTTTTCAAAATTAAGCCAGATATTGCCAGTTTGTTGTAATCTGAGATCAGAAACCGGTGTCAGGCTCATTTTCCACAGTTTTTGAAATGAATATAATTGCTAGCATAAAATGGCAGCTTCATATGCGTTTTCTTTGATGATTATACTTGGTAGTTGATTTTGCTCAAGAACTTTTACTAAAATTATAGTATTGACTCATTCTTTGTGGTACTTGAATCTTGCACACAAAGTGAATGAAGAATATATCACAAAATAGGAATGTCTATGAATTCATGCAACAAATATCTTTTGAGCACCTACTATAATTCAGACCCTGAACAAAACATTTATATACATTTAATAAGTGTGATGACTGCCACAAAGGAAAAGAATCAGGTGCTATCAGAGAGTAGATTAGTGAAATTGATGTGGTTTGGGGGAATCAAGAAAGCCTTCCTGAAGGAGGTTATGTTTGAGGTGAAGTGTGATGGATGAACAGGAGGAGTTTGAATGACCCATGGAGCTCTGAACAAGCTAAATCTCTGTACACCCATTTTATGCTCCTCTTTCTCTGGCTCTTTTACTTCCTCTCATGCCTGCCTTGTCTATTATCACACACGACCATGAGCATTCTGTTCTCAGATGCTTTGTGTGCAAGGCTGCGCACCAGTGAATATCACCAGTTTCTCAGAGAGCAAACAATTACACAATGCCAAAAGCCATGATTGGCTTCCCTTTAAAACCTCTCCTTCAAAACCATACTCTGCTTGGCCACTAGAATCCCTCAGATTTGCATATCCGGCACCTCATGATTGGTCCACAAAGCAACCAATCATAACCCACCTTTGACAACCAATCACAGCCCACCAACATGTATATAACCACAATTCCTGGCCCACAATCGCCAGATGACCCTGAAGAGCCTGAAGAGTTGTAACACCGCATCGTCCAGGCAACCCTGAAGACCCTGAAGAGCTCTGGACGACCCTGAAGAGTTGTAACACTGTGTCGTCTCCATGCTGCCCACAATAAACAGACGACCCTGAAGAGTTGTAACACTGCATCATCTCCGTGTTATAACACTGTGCCACTCGTCCCAGCTCTCACTCCTTCCCTCAGGAAACCTGTTCGACTGTCCCCTGGATCGGGACACTTTGTGCTGTTCTCTCTGCCTACAATTGATTTTCCTAATTTTTCATTTCATTTTCTCTTATTTCAACTGACATACATTAGACATTTTACCCATTAGGATTCTCCAGAGAATCAGAACCAATAGGATACATGTGCACACACACACACACACACACACACACACACACACACACGTTTATTTTAAGGAATTAGCAATTGAGACTGTGGAAGTTGTCAAGTCTGAAATTGAAGGGCCAACAGGGAGGCTAGAATTTCAGCAAGAGCTGACCTAGCCGAACTGGTGCATAAAACTAACCACCATAAGCATTAGTATCTGTGTTCAAATAGGTTAGAGGAGTGATAATTTTATGGTTGTCAATTGTATTCCTGACTTACCTTCATCTTTACAGGTCAGATTCACCCACTCTTCTCCTGGGAGTCTTATTTCTATAATTTAAGAACTTTTTTTGAATTATATTTTCTCTTTTGTTTTAAAATCCTTCTTTCTGTTGGAAATATTACCCAAAATTCACTACTACAGGAAGTCTGGCTTTTCAGAAAATAGTTTACAATAACTCCTGCTCCTGACATCCTGAGTTCAAACTGATAGCTTCATCTGAGCCTATTCTGTATTCATTCATTTAGTTCTTCATTTGCCAACGATGATTTTTAGTACCAACTGTGTATAAGGTACTATCTTATGTCCTGATGCATATATAAGGTTGAGTAAGACATCTTTATATTCTTTTTATTCTCTACATTACTATTTAGCTGACCACAGAGAAACACATTTATTCCCTTCTCAAATTTCCAAGCCTTTCAAATCTTCCTACATTTTATTTGCATTGACTAAGTTTTCTATTACCTGAAAGATGTCAGTATTGTCGGCAAGCATGGGGATTTTATTAGAGACAACCTCATCTAGATCATTTATAAATATGCCTGGCTTTGATTCTTAGGAATTTTCAGTGCCTAACTCGTCCACCTAAGGGGCTTACTTTTCTCTCCCCTTTATAATTTGTTAGCTTCCTACTTTCTTATTCCATGGTGGCTTGTTTTAGGTGAAGTTTTTACTAAGTAATTATATACATACAAGAATATGAACAAGCATTGAAGTTTTGTGATGTGAACATATCTATTTCAATACTGCTCAGTTCAAGAAAGCTATCAGCACAGCCCTCAATCCTCCTCATTGCCCCATCCTCACTACATACTTCTAAAAGTAAATAAAAGCTTTATGATATTATAATTGGTTAGATTGATCTGTTTTTAAACTGTCTATGAATGGAAATACACATAAGTTTTTATTTCCAATCTGCTTTCTTATCCTTAACATCCTTTCTGTAAGATATCAAGGAACTTGTGAAGTTTGTGAAAAAAAATGGAATTAAAGTATGAGTTTATTTTGTCGCAAAAAACTTGAAATCCATACATAATTTTTTTTCATGTAATATGCATTTTTCCATGAACTTTTTAAAGACCCCCCCCCCTTGAATAACGTTGACACACCCATGTTGTTTGGAGTACCAACGGTTGGTTCTTTCTCATTGGTGTACACTATTACACTACATACAGATAAATCATTTATTGGTCCAATCTACTGTTAATGGGCATTTGAGCTATTTCTTGTTTTGGGCATCTAGCACTACTGTGGACATTTAGACTTACTTTTGATGCACATATATGTTCATTTCTATTTGGTAAATACCTGGGAATGGAATTGTTGAGTTAGAGTGTGCATACTGGCAAACAATTATCCCAAATATATACCAATTTCTGAGCATTCTTTTTTTTTTTTTTTTGGAGGGGTTTTTGCTATAGGGCGGGGGGGCTCACCAGAAACAGAGAGATACAGAGAGACAGGAAGTGAGAAATCACCCCCCCCCAACCCAGAGAGGATGGCCACGTTGATGAACATTCTTGTCCCAAATTTTAAATAATACTTTGTATAGTGATCTTTTACTTCATTTATTTTTTAATTGCCAGATTCATCAGAAAGAGATAGGAAGAAGGAGAGGAAGAAAACACTCTCTATTTAGGTGGGTATGGTCATTCTGCAATTTCCCTTCTCCTTTTCTCCATCGTGTTGGGATTTGGAAAACTGATGCACACTCACTTAGTATGTTTTTCTTATCTTTTCTTTCTTTCTTTCTTTCTTTCTTTTTTTTTTTTTTGAGAGTTTTTTTTGCTATGGGGTGCATGCACTTGCCAGAGAGACAGAGAGAGACAGAGAGACAGAAAGTGAGAAATCACCCCCCGGTGGGATGGCCACGCCGCAATCCCTTCTCCTCCATTCTCCTCTTGAGACCTTGGGCATGCATGCACATGTGCCTGGCATGAGTTTAAGCCACCGGGTCTGGGACTCGAACCGTGGTCAACTACATGGGAGTTCAGCCACATAGCCATTAATGCTAACTTCTGGTCCCAGCATGTTTTTCAAACCTATAGGGACTTGAACTTTGTGACTGGCCATGTGGGATCTGTCTCCTGTAGCTATTAGGCAACAGGGCTAACCTGATATAGTCATCATTTACATTTTCACACTTTGTCATTACATTTTGAATCTCCTTTCCCTGATCAGTAATGATGCTGACATTTTTTAATATGTTTACTGGCCTGTTTGGCATTCTTAGTGCGGTGTTTGTTTTATTCTTTTGCCTATTGTCTTTATGATGGCTTTTTAAAAAATCAACTTGTAGGAGTTAGTTATGTAATATAATACAAGTTATCTATCAAGTATATATTGCAAATACTTCCACTCTGTGACTTGTCTCTTTAAAATGTTATTTTTTGATAAACATTCTTTCTTTTAAAGTAGTCTGATTTATTAATTTTATCTTTTATGATTAGTATTTTATGTACTTTATAAAATATATTTGTCTTCCTAAGGTAATCTATATTTTCTTCTAGAAGATATATGTTTTTACTTTTATGTTTAATTCTACCATCTACCTGGAATTGATTTTTCATGTAGCGTGTAAGGTCATGGTCAATTTTTTTTCTAATATGGCCATAAAATTGGCCTAATAATATTTACACAATTTTTTTCTCATTGCATTCAATACAATCTTTGTCCAATTAAATGACCACACGTGTGATTTTGTTCCTGGACTCATTATTGTGAGTTCCACTGATCCATTCATGTATCTTTGGGCCAATATCACAATTCTTGATAGCTATAGTTTAGTAATACATTTTAATATATTGGTATAAACCCTTCAGTTTTTTAATCTTTCAAGATTCTTTTCACTATTCTTAATCTTTTTTGTTTTAGATATATTTTTGCTATAGGGCATATATGCTCACTGAAGAGACAGAGACAGAGAGGCAGAAAGTGAGAAATCACCCTCCAAGAGGAATAGCCATGCTGCAATCTTTTCTCCTCCACTCTCCTCCAGGGATTTTGGGCATGTACACACATGTGCCCAGCAAGTTTTAAGCCAGCAGATCTGGGACTCTAACCATATTTGACCAAGTGGGAGTCTAGCGATGCAACCATTATGCCATCTGCTGGTCCCTGTTCTTAGTCTTTATGCATCTATCTATCTATCTATCTATCTATCTATCTGTCAGAATAATCTTACAGAGTTATACACAATAATGTATAAAATATTAGGAATTTTTTTTAAGTTGCAATGACTATAGATCAGTTTTGAGAGAACTGATACTTTTTCAATATTGAGTCTTTTCAATTCCAGAATATGGTATACATTACTGATTATTTTTTTCTAATTTCTCTCAATAATTCTATTTGTTTTATTATTGCTAAAGAAATACACAACTTATCCTTGAACAAGCTGATATTGAACTGTGTGGACCCACATATATGCAGTTTTTTTTTTTCAATAAATATATTGAAATGTGCTGTACTGGAAATACAGTATGGTATTGTAAATTCACTTTTTCTTCCTTGTGACTTTCTTAATATTTTTAATCCATCTTACTTTTTGTAAGCACATAATAAATAATACATAAAATATATAAGATGTATGTTAATTGTTTGTATTATCAGCATGTCTTCCAGTTGACAGTTGGCTATTGGTAATTAAGTTTTAGGAGAGTCTAAAGTTACGTATAGACTTTTGACTGCATAGGATATCAGCTTCCCTACTCTCCACATTATTTAACAATCAGCCATCACTGTTACATTTCCTATAGAATTTTTATAGGTACTCTTTATAAAACTAAAAAGTTCTATTCAGTGTTCAACATTGTATGTTACTAAGCAATTACAAGTTAAAACAATAATGAAATGATGCTACATACTTTTTAAAAGCGAAAATCCAAAATACTGACAATACCAAATGCTGATGAGAACATGGAGCAACCGGAACTTTCAGTGCCATTTTGCAAGGAGAATACAAAATCATACAGCCACTTTAGAAGACAGTTTTGCATTTTCTTTATAAAATTAAATGCACTGTTACCATATGATCTGGGGATTGTACTCTTTTATATTTATTCAAAGGAGTTTAAAACTTATGGGCCACATGAAAACTAGCACATGGATGTTTATAAGAGCTTTGTTCATAATTGCTAAAACTTGGAAGCAATTAAGGTGTTCATCAGTAATGAGTGGATAATCAACAAATTGTGGTACATTCAAACAAAGAAATTTTTTTTAGAATTATTTTGTTCATTCATTCATTTATTTTAATTTGACCAGAGAGAGACACACAGAGAGAAAGAGGAAAGTGGGGAAGCAAGCCACCAGGTCCAGGACTTGAACCATGATTGGCTATGTGGGAGTGTCCAGCGCCTTAACCACCATGCCACCTGCCGGTCCCCAAACAATGAAATATTACTGGGCAACTAAAAAGAAATAAGCTAGAAAGCCATGAAAAGATATGAAGAAACCTAAAGAGGATATTACAATACTAAATGAAAGAAGCTAATCTGAAAAGGCTACATTCTGTGTAATTCCAACTATATGACATTCTGGAAAAGGCAAAACCATGAAGACAATAAAAAGATGAGTGGTTTTCAGGGTTTAGAGGTAGTGGGGGATGGAGATATTAATAGGCAGAGAATATTTTTAGGGCAGTGAACCTATTCTCTATGATATTATAGCAGTGGATACATTTCAACATATGTCTCCAAACCCACAGGATGTACAACACTGAAAGTGAACCCTACAGTAAATGATGGACTTTGAATGATGCTAAAGTATCAGTGCAAGATCATCATTTTTAACAAATATATCCCTCTGGTATGAGATGTGAAGAGTTAGGGACTATATAACTCTGTTCTTTCTGCACAATTTTTTATGAACCCAAAACTACTCTTAAAAATAGTCTATTATAGGGGCCAGCAGTTAACGCAATGACTATGTCGCTGGACTACCATGTAGTTGACTGTGGTTCGAGTCCCAAACCCGGTGGCTTAAACTCACAGTTTTCTGATATGGCATCAGGGATGTTTATTGCTAAATAATTTTTAAAAACTTTTTGCAATGCAATGTTTCGAGTGTGACAACAGACTGCCACAGGAAATACCCTCTTCTTTTAAAAATATTATTATTATTTTTAGAGGTTTTTGTCTTAGAGTGTGTGTGCGCTCCCTGGAGAGAGAGAAACAGACAGATAGTGAGTGGGAAAGTGAGAAATCATCCTCTGGAGGAATGGCCACAGTGCAATCCCTTCTCTTCCATTCTCCTCCTGGAAACTTGGGCATGCATGCACACATACACACTCAGTGTGTTTCAAGCCACCAGGTCCAGGACTCAAACTGCTGTTGACCATGTGGAGGTTCAACAATGTTTCTACTACGCCATCTGCTCACCTCAGTACTTTCTTGTATTATTCTGGTGAAGTCCCTACCCTCCATGACCCTCAGTGTCATTATGTGGAACATTGAGAGGATAGGGCCTACTGTGCTTATCTCAGGGAATTTTTGTGAAGATAGGAAAAGAGAGCATGCACAAATGTAGTCCAAATACTAGATACCTGGACAGATAGTACAGAAGTTTCTTTGACCCAGAGATTTACAGTTTCAAGGTTTCCAAGTGTTGAACCCTTGATTAGAATGTATTTATCTGTTTATTCCCTATCAAAATGTACTAGATTATTACTTCTCTAAATGCAAAGGATAACCCTAAATGTCTTCTGCATCCAAGTTTCACAATCCAATCCAAGATAAACAAAGCTCCATTGTGCCTGCTTCCTGCCATCTTACTACTCTTAAAAACCTCCTGAATACAATGAACAGTCCTGACTTGAAATTCTTTTACCCCCTCCTTAACCTTATTTTATATCCTGAGGTGTCCTGACAAGCTGAGTTGTTTATTCTCCTCCTCTTATTTGGATTAAAGGTGTTAAGCTGAATGGGCTCCTTTGACACTCAGTTAAAACATTATCCTTAGTCTCAGCTAATAGCACCCAATCATATGTGCATAGTGGTTTCTCTCCACGTTTCCCTCCAACTGAAAGAGCACAAACATAGAGGAGGGAGCATCCCTTGGAATTCATATCTCCTACTCTGTGTTCTTTTCCTTCTTGTCTAAGCATGAATTTGCTTATACAAGGCTAGCATTTTTCTCCTGTTCCCTGGATGATTTTGGCCCATTTTCAACTCTCATTCTTTCTGTGGCATTGGGAGTAGTTAGTCATTTTTGCATCAGTGAGAAGAGGGATTTAGTGACTAGGAAGACCATAGACTTTCCTCTTTGGTCCTTCCTTCCTTGACAAAGTAAATCCCACTGAAAAACAGCATTAATAGAGCATGACGGTTGGAAGAATAGAGCCCTAACTGTTGACATTTCTGTTGTCAAGCTAGGTATTATGCTGTGATAAAGAAAAGACACATTTTTTAAAAAGACAATCTCCGTGGCATTAGGTTTATTAGTGTAATATCATTGTCATTGTCCTCGACTCCCCAATACACTTAAGGGCCTATCAATATTTCCATTAAAAAATCCCATTTGCTGTCATTTAAAAGTAGCCTGGCTATGTCAGATCATTTAAACAGAAATTATAGATCAATTATTTTTAGGTTTATTATTGAAAGTCAAGGGTGGTTAAATTTACTGAATTGGTAGGGA